CTGCAGAAGGCTTGACCTTTTGTAGTATATGCATATATATTCTTAAATACTATCTGATCAGTATGTATAATGCCACTTGTATATGTGATTGCAGTATTTAAAAAAATTATTCTAGGAATAGTCCCTTATGTGTGCATATGTATATATAAGCACATAAGTTAAAGTAATTATGTAGAAAATAAGTAACTTCATATGGTTATCCTTATAGTTTTTATAAAACCTACAAGTTTTTATGTCTCCTACAAGACACTTATTTTGTAATCTCTCACTTTTCTTTTAAACATAATAACACAGTCTTCTATCTCAAACTTTGCAAAAATGCTTTTGAAACTATGAATGTGTTCATTCACCCATCTACAGACTATCTGCCAAATAAAAGTTGCTATGAAAGGGTTAATGCATACAACTTTCCAACAATGCTAATATGCTTTCTGTGGAGAAATATCTAGGTACAGAGTAAATCAATTCTTCTAATAAGAAATTTGAGAGATCGAATCATTTACACAAACTGTAAGCTTTCCAATGTGCCATGACAATAAACAAGTATTTGTTTTAGTGAACACTTTCTAGTCCATCTGTTAGTCTGATTTTATTGGATTTAACAGGAGATACCTTTGCAGCTTTCACATTGAAATTACGTTACACACACACACCACATGCACACACATGCACACACACACACACACACCCCATACACTCATACACATACAAACAAATGATTACACACATGAGAGAGAGACAGACAGACAGATAGACAGAGACAGGAAATAATGAATATTATGGTTAGAGAAAGAACTCAGTTTTCTTAGCATGAGGTATCTATGCTTCTTTTTAGCATGGCAGAGAAACAGAATGACAGCAGAGATGAGACTTGGTGGAAAAGTCAACAAAACATATTGAATTCATAGATTCAAGAAGTAACTGAAAGAGTAATCTTTTTTACAGGCTGACAGCAATGATTTCACATAAATATAAAACTGTAGCATTTTATCAATATCAGGATCCTGTAGCTAAGGTAGAAAAATGTTGTACATATGGGAATTGGTGAATTGTTTGCTGAATCATGAGATTAGGTATATTCAGATAGTATAATGCCTTGCTTATTTAGAAGAGAATTCATAGAAAATGGTATTCTGAGTAAAAACATCACTACAGAACTAAAAAGGCTTATTTGAGTATGTATATGCTTCTCAAAAACAAATGTTACAGGGTGAGATAGAAAATATCAAGAAGACTTTATTGCATAATGATTTAAGAGAAAATAAAATGATGCATACTTCCTTGATGAAAACATTATTTAATTGGAAAAGTAGTGGTTTCTGCTACAATGTGCTTATTGTTTAAAACACAACTTAAGACAGACATATGTTCTGAATAAATGCTTGAGAGTACTTTTTTTGTTAGCCAGAGGGTGAAAATATAGTTGCTCTTAGATTTAAAAAATAAATACAATTATTCGCTTTTCCCATGATTTCCCTGTTGGATGTCGGGAACACAATGCATTAATTTTGTTTCATGGTTGGGAAACAAATCTACCTTTCACAACCAGGTAGCATCTTGTCATTGGTATTCCTAAATCCTAAGTACTTATTTTGCATACAGTCTAATGTGTCTATAGAAAAGCGTAGTTACTGAATTCTGTATTCCTTAATTCTATTTTTGAAACATTTACATTCATTAATATTCTGTTTTAGATTAAGAGGCATGGTGCTACATTTATATGTTGTTGAGATGTATTCTGTCATATGAATTAATTGGAATTCATTCATCCATTGTGATTAAATAGTTCTATTTATAGACGTTCAGCATAAAATTATTATAGTATCTGTATTCTGTATAATTCACCTTGTCACATTCTTTCTCATGATGATGTAAAGCAAGAAGAAGCTGAAAGGGCTGCTATTCCATGAGATCGTCTGTTCTTGGGTCACTTAAATAGGAGGGACCTTTTATAGGCTGCAGCCTGAAGTTTACTGAAGGATGGTTAAGTGACGAATCCTGTGACTGTACATCTCAGCAGGTAAATCAGGGATCTCATGCATCTTGGCCTCAGATTGCAATTTGCAGCTCTCTTAAAATCACAGTGAGTCTGATCAGAGTACTATATTTCAGATCGGATTTCAACAATCACTGTGCTGTTCCTTGGGGTTTTAGGTAATATATGGTCATATATACGTGATGCTGGAGACCAGGGATAACACTTAGAATGAATAATGTTTGCCACAAGGTATTTTAAGACATTTGCACAGATTATTCAACTAGGAAAAGATTAAAATGTCTAGCAACATAGACATTTTTTTTCCCCGTGGAAGTTCTAATATGGGCATTTTCCTTGAGTAAATAGTTGCTTTTAAATTTGAATTGCATTTCAGTGACCTGCTAAATAAAACATTCACCATATTTTTGGACAGCTATCTGAGACCACTAAAGTAAAATCATTGCACTTGAATATGAATTTCTATGCCACATTCTCTGAAGCAATTACATGAAACAAACATATTTAGCTAATATTTTTCTATCTAAGATAACTTCATATTCCTTCTATTCTCTTAAAACTTAATTTGTTTGACATTATAAAAATGTACCAGGTAAGAAAAACACAGATAAACTGATGAGCCCTGCTGTCCTCGCAGATGAATTAGTAAAGTCTGCCCAAGGTCTATGTGTTAGAATACCATTTATAGGTCTATGGTACTAGATGTGGTTGCCCACTAGACAGAGGGAACTATTGGGACTATTTCAGCCTTCCAATTACATTTTTTGTAGATTTCTTCACTTCTGACCATGAGGTAGGCAGTTTTGCTCTGTCACTGTGTCATCTCCATCTCACCCATTCCAATTTAATTTTATCCATCATGGACTCTACGTCAAAACTGTGAACCAGAACAAATCCTGCCCCCTTAATAAGCTGACTCTTCTTGTGTATTTGATATAATGATGAGAAGATGACCAACACACCTGCCTTTTGCAGTCTCTGCTAGACTACTCGATGTCCAACATGGCTGTTCCAAATCTGAAACAATCCACATTTTGATAATGTATGATAACTTTTCCTTATAAGTGAAAAGTGCTTCTTTATTTTTGTTGTGAGCTTGGCTGCAATCAGAATCACTTATAGGATGAAACTGATGCTCAGCCATGGAGAGGGATATCTGTAAAGATGTTTCCAGAAAGGCTTGACTGATGATGCAAGACCAGACCTGAATAAGGGAGCTCCTTCTATGACTAATAAGGAAGTGATCAGCATCTATAGTTCTTTGCTTCCTGATTACAGTTGTGACATGACCAGCTGCTTCAAACCCCTGCCACCCTTCCTTCCCAGACATGGTGAACTGTACCGTGAAACTGTGAGCAAGAGAAGACTATACTTTCTTGAAGTTGCATTCATCAAGCATTTTATCAAAACAAAGAGAAAAATGAATACAGTGAATACAGGAAGGATTTAGTATAGACTGTGACCATATTAAAAAGGCAGTCTGACACCACATTAAATAAGCATTCTGAGGATACATTAAATAAACATTTTAGCATATGTACTATCTCAAATTGAGTACATGGACAGATTTTTCAATAAATGTTGAAGGAAAAGTTGAGGATTCATATGAAAATGAATGAAATTGATCACTATTTCTCTTTAATTAATATATTGTGGACCAAATATTACATATAGCACTAGAAAAAATGAAATTACTAAAACAAGACAAAAAAATTTTACATGGAAGACTAATTTAGACTATTGGAGCAGAAATGGTATTTACAAAGAACTCCAAAGGAAATAAATAAAAAGCTTCATCTAAGGAGCTACATTCATTTAAAATGCTTCCACTAATAAAAGAAACCATTGGAGAGCAGACACGCCAAGAAGGAGAAAGAATGGTTGGGAAATAGACATCTTACAAAGGTTTAATCACAAATGTACATAAAGAATCCTAGAATATGGAATAGAAAAGCTCCAACTTTTCAAGTGGAAATAGATCAAAATACTAAAAAATGGCTAATTGGTGCTTGACAAGTGGTCAGTATCACTAATTAGGGGTAAAACGCTCTTCAGAATCATAATAAAAGATCATAAAGCATGGCAAAACAACAACAAAAATGGCTGGATATAACCAGTAATGGCAAGGACTTGGAGAAAAAAGATTCCTCCCACAGTGTTGGTAGGATGCAGATCAACATAGTTATTATGAAAATCAGCATGGAGGTTCCTCAGAAATGACAAACAATTTACTATTCCATCCAGCTTTCCGTGGGCGAATAGATCGATGAAGAAAATAAAAGGAATGTGTGAAAGAGGCCACTGTCGCCTAAGTAGATGTAGGACTATTCAAAAGGTAAAACATTTTAAAGGTCCAAAGTTTTCATTTCTGAACAATTTCTAGAAGGCTGAATCACAAAGACTGTAGGTTATTATTCAACAACGGAAAACAAGTGAAATTCATCACGTGTGAGAAAGTGAACTGATGTGCAGAACACTGTATTAAAAGAGATTTGCCTGACAAAGAAAACAATCTACTGCATAATCTAGCTCATAAGGTGGTTCTAAGGTTGAGTCTCACAGAAGTTGGGTGTAGAACAGTGATTGTCAGAAGCAGCAATGAACAGTGGGAAAGAATAAAGCTGAGAGGTTGACCAGTAGGTACAAATTCACAAATAAGTAACAGTGAGAAGTACATATGTTCTACAGCAAATCCTGGTAACAGGAGATAATAGCATGCACTGTGTATTTCAAAAAGGCAGAAAAAAGAACATTTTACTCAAGAAGAAATGGCAAATATTTTGGGAGAAAGAAATGTTTACTTGATTTAAGAAGAACATACAAATATTTTGTCCTAAATATAAGTAGTTTTTATTTTGTTTTCTATTTTTAATTTTGAAATTAATATAAAATTTCATTATTTTACCACTTTCTTCCCTCCAACCCTGCCAATTTACTTCTTGTTTTTGTTAAAATTCATGGTCACCTTTTTTTTTCTTATTTCTTCTTTTTTTAAACCTCCTCAAGAGGATGAACTGTTCCCGAGGTACTACAATACCAAGTCAATGAGTGGAGTGGATGGAACAAGCTCCTATTCCAACTCTTACTTCCAAAAATTCATTCAATTTATTGTCCTTGGATAGAGGACATATCAGATATTAAACTAATAAGAGCAGATACTACAATTGATTTTAGCCAAAAGGACAAGAAGCGATGGCCACTTTTTCTTTAACTGATGTTTACACACACACACACACACACACACACACACACACACACACACACACATGCAAAAATAGTTATATTCCTAAATCTATAAGTAATATAATTCTTAGACCATATAATATTTCTTATATGTATGTGCTGAACACCTGTTACTGGTTAATCAACTGGAAGGTTCTTCCCTAGGGAGAACTATTGCTCTCAGTTTAGCTATCTTTAGTTGCCTGCTATTTTTAGTGTCTAGTCAGTAATAAACTAAAAGATCTTCATCTATAAAAAAGTTTCACCTACACAACTATGTAAATATGGGCCAAAGAAGGTTGGCACAAAAAGGCATGCTGAAGTGTGTGGGGTAGAGCCCATGAGGCTTAAACACAGCACAAAGAATTACAAGCACCTAAGAAATGCTGAGAGCAGGGGAAGTAGTCTTCCACAGGGAAGAACACACTCGCTATTTAAGGAGCAATGGCACTCCTTAAAACAACATGGCATTAGCATTATACAGACTGAGCAGGTTATATTTAGGAATATATATGTATATGCATATACATATCTGCCTACAGTAACAATGGAGAAAAAAGAGGCCATAAATTTGAAAGAGAACAAGAAAAGGTATATGGAAAGATTTAGAGGAGGGAAAGACAATGAGGAATGTTCTAATTAAAATCTTGAAAATAGTATAATAAATTAAATTAAAATATATGTTTTATTTAATTATATGTTTGATTACATATATTCTTATCTACTAAAGCATACATATATAGTTTAGTCTTAATAATCTGAATATGAAATAGAGAAAATTAGGGGAAGATAAAAGAAATCCAAATAGAGATTGCACTATTTATTTCATTCAGAAAAGCAAGCGAGATTGCTTCTAGAAGTAGAGCGGGGTTAAGATATAAGACATAGAAAGTTTCTAAAATAGTGGCTATGTTCTTATGAGAATTTGGTGGGTCATATCAGATTAATTGATTGCCAAATGATCAAATTATACTCAAGGAATCTGCAAATTTTCTGTGATAGATCAAAATTAATAGCATTTTGACATCTATACAAATTTAAAAACAAGAACCAGGTTGATATCTTAAAAATAAAAGGTGTAGAATATTTCCAAAAATGAGTGAAATGAAATAGTTTAAGGGCATATTATCATTTTATCTTTCTCACACAAAAAGTTAAATTCCTGGCATATTATCTTAAAATCTTAAAATTAAATGTGCTAACTGATCTCAGACTTCAGCTTGCTTCCTTTAGTAACAAGAAACTAGGGTGCATATGTGATGATTTCTACTTCATCTGCAACCATCTCTTCCTCAGAACATAAATAGCTGAGAATATGTGGATTGAGATTCTTCGTTTTAAACAAGCAAAGAAATTATCTTTAAGCACTTATTTTATAATGTATAGTGTGTTGTCTCTGCAAAATATTTAGAATTCAAATTATATGTTTAAAGTTAAGTATGAATTACACAAAAGAGCTATTGAAAAATTTAAATTGCAAGGCAAGCAAGTTTGGCCACACTCAATGTTTTGATATATGGGACAATAACATGATTATCAATAATATACAAATATCTAGCCTTTTAAGTCATAGTAGCATTGTCTGTCTTTTATACATACATGTAAAGCAAATACTATGCCAACTGCTACGTCATTTCCGTATTTGCTAACAATAAAAAGTACTGATGTTTTTCATGCCTCTTCTTTCCCTTATTCTGTCTACTCAGGAAACATATTATTAGGATGTTTCTTTACTGAGCCCTAGAGCAAAACATAATTCTTGACGGCATGAGTTTTTAATTTAATGAAATTGTGCTGCCAGAGACAGTTATTTCTATATTCTAGACATAGAGGGATGCAGTTTCTATAAGATCAGAAATATAAATATGACCAATGTAAAAAAATTAACTGAAAGTATAGATTTTTGACATAGTATTGATGAAAAATTTATGAAGAGCTTTCTGAAACCTGAACCTGAAAAGGGCATTAGATAAGCATAGTTGAATACAAATTTTAAAACTTCTATAAATTACATTGTTTTTAAAGATGAGACCCTGACTGGGTTGGATTTTAAGGAAGAACTTGAAATAAAAAATGTTAGGAACTGAATATCCATATGGATTTATAACCCTAAGGTCAAAAGCATCATCTTCTCTATAACTTCACACAGAAATGATCACCACACCCAACCATCCACCAGTTATTTATTATATTTTCCAGTATAGTGAATTGTGGCAGACTGAGTTCTCACAGTGTGTGAAGTGGTACAATAATGTATACACCTATCTAAAAAGCATTCGCACAACACTGGATTCATATGTACTGGGCAAACATCTCATGAAAAATATAGGTAATAGAACTGTCTTTTAAATATTACATGGCTCAAATTTTTGTTATTCTAAATTGGAAATACCATTTTTCATGGCCTAGCTTGCACATTTTTAAAACTTGACATTAATTAGGTTGAAGACATTTCTTCATTGACAGTTTTGAACTTTTTGTTAACCATGAAATTAAATTCATGAATATAAAGTAGTATAAAATTATTTTCTTTTTATAGAATTAATGAATTTTATCATTTCTTTTTAAAGTTTTTATTAATAATGATAACTGCTTCTGCATCAAACTTTTGACAAACGTCATACTGTAACATAGGAATTCAGAGGTCAAGAGCTGTGCTTTATTTTTAGCTTCTCAGCAGGCAGCTGGTACTTAACAGATTATTTATACATAAATTACATAATTTTAGAGAAACACAACGTAGTATAAAAGATTACTAGTCTTGATCCATAGGAAGCATACATTCATCTTATTAAATACAAACTAATATTAGTTTCTGTGTACATTAATTTTGTTGAATAAAGAAAAATTAAATGATTTGAGAATGGAGGTGAAAAGTAGGTCTTTTTATGAGTTGGTGGAATAAAACCTTTTAAAACCATGCCAGTCAACCTGGATCAAGTCCTAGAGAGTGATTCCCGTACTTTTCATCCTTAATGTTTAATCTGTATAAAAATACCAGAAGATATGTAAAACTTGGAAATGGAAACAAATGAAAATAAAATTAGATGTTATAATGTGTGGTGCAGAGCAGATGGAAATGTTAATAGTGTCTTTATATGTTAAATCCCACTTGTGATATAAATCAGGAAGTGAGAGAGCCAATATTTTATTATAATCTAGCTGATATATGACTTTATGCGACCCCAGATATTTTAGAGCTCATGAAAAATTTAGTGTCTGCTCAAACAGAGGAAGAAAAGTGTATGCTTGCCTGTACATGGAGAATTCCTGTTGAAAAAGTTATCTGCACTTCTATTTAAATGACTATGTAAGTAGGATGCAGGAATAAGTTGAACAATAAATGTTTAATAGTTTCTCAAATAATGACTGTAATCAAAATATGGAATCCAAAGGCCATATACTCTCTTTATTTAACCTAACTACTAGAAATTTCAGTGTTCTATAATGTAAAATCTTAGGGGACAATTTAATAGTGTATCTAACAGAATCATTGAAAGGGCAATATGTCTCAAATATTAAAACGTATATCTGCATAGAGGCTACATAATACACATTGACACTTAGAAATTAGAGTATTCTTTAGAAAAATGATGGGTTCTGAGGGTTCTGTCTCTTATTTCTATCCCTATTCATGTCTTATTATGCATTATGTTTGGCAAAACAACCAATTCTTTGATGTCAACACAAAAATCATGTTTAATACCTGGTTTTTGAAGTCATCAAATGTCAGTAGCTTAAGTAGTTGACTCTAGTTGATCATATTTTACTGGTGTGTAATGTTTAAAGAAAAATTAAGTTGGATTATCAAATTGAATTTGATCCTTAGGGAAAACATTAACCATTTTTTTTGATGAATAAATTATAAACTTACATCTTTTTTTATTTTTTAGAAAGTAATTTTATTAAATTATAAAAGTTTCCATTTCCGCCCCTCCTCCCAACACCCTCCCACTCCCCCCACTCCCTCTGCTCCTCCCTCTCCATCCCTAAGAGCAGTCAGGGTTTTCTGCCCTTTGGGAAGTTCAAGTTCCTCCCCCTCCCTCCAGGTCCAGGAAGGTGAGTGTCCAGACAGACTGGATCCCCAAAATCCAGTATATGCAGAGGAAACAAGTCCCAGTGTCATTGTCAATGGCTTTTCAGAAAGACTCCAGGCCAGCCACATTCAGAGAATCCGGCCACATTCAGAGAATCTGGTTGGATCGCGTCCTCGTTCAGTCCCAGTCAACTGGCCTTGGTAAACTCTAATTGGATCCGTCCCCTTTTATCAGTGGGTGATCGCATCCCTCGCAGTCGATATTTCCTTTTTCATTTTCTTCCTACTTCTGCTCCTCATTTGGACCTTGGGGGACTCAGTATGGTGCTCCAATGTGTGTCTCCGTCTGTATCGCCATCCCTCGTCGGATGAAGGTTTCCTCTGGTCTTGCCTTCTTTGCTCACGTTCTCTTTCCTTCTGCTTCTCGTTTGGACCTAGGGACTTAAGTCCAGTGTTCCAATGTGGGTCTCTGTCTCTATCTCCATCCATCGCCAGATGAAGGTTCTATGGTGATAAGCAAAATATTCATCAGTATGGTTATGGGCCAAGGCCGTTTCAGACACCCTCTCCTCTGTCCAGAGAACAATCTGGGGATCTCTCCTTGGACCTGGGATATCATTTATAATCAAGTCTCCTGTAAACCCTAAAATGACTCCCTTAGTTGAAATATATTCTTCCCTTATCTCATATCCATCCTTCCTCCCTCCCCCCAATCCCAGTCCACCGAGCTTTCCCCATTCCTCCCCTACTCCCTTCTCTCTAACCCTCTCCCCTTCCAACAACCCCCCCCCCCATGCACCCGAGGTTACCTGAGACTCTTGTGTATTTCCAATCTCCAGGAGAATAGCTACATGATCTTCTTCAGGTTCACCTTCTTATTTAGCTTCTCTAGGATCACGAATAATAGGCTCAAAGACCTTTAATTATGTTAAGAAT